TCTTTACTGTTATGCCATCATATCATTAGATCTTAAGCATTTCTCCTCTTCATCTCTCATTATATAGCGATTATAAATTGGTTGTTTCACCCTGCTCAGTCAGGGGTCAGCAACCTATGTATGGCACATAGGGTAAATCAGGCCTATAAAAGATGTCTGATTCAGCCTGGGGACAGATGTACCATGCCATGCAGGCCCTTCACTGCAAAGTCTACTGCTCTGCTGTATCTGTGCTTCCCTCATTGTACAAGGGTCAGGAATCTGCAGCAGAGTGCAGGCAGCTGCCTGCTCCACAGGGATGTAGACTTCTGGCCAACAACTAGGACTGGGTTGCAAGCTCCAGCCTACGCCAGCAAAAGGATGTTAACCCTTGCACTCTTTTGTACTGACGTCTCAGTCACCTGTTCCTAAGGGTTTCCCTCTTCTGATGTGTCCATCAAAAATCATCCTTCTTGCTAGGCTTCAGAGACCTCTCATCTGTATGTGCAGGTCTCGCCTCCGCTTTCTTCCATCACCTACTTAGAATCCTGCCTGAACTCCACTATTGTTGATAGCTGTATTACCAGCCCCTTGATTATCAACTTCTCCATAAGCACCATCAGGCAACACTTCATGCACATGTAGCTGACATTACAGAGCAACCCCAAAGATGATATACATCCCACTAATTACAGTCATCCTCACTTCCCCAGTCTTGAAAATTCCTCCATGGATGCTAGAGCTGTCACCCTCTGCTCCACCCCCACCACTTTTTATTAAAAAAAAAAGGTGGTAAACCCTTGGGGAAACAAGACCCTTGTAGCAAAGTAAAAGAAAGGAAACAGGGAGGAAAAGCACCACAAAAAAACAAAACCTGAAACTGAACTACCTCAAACTCCCCTCATAAGCTCCTTTTAGTTCTCTTCCAAGTCACTGGCAACTGGTCTTTTATAGCCTGGGGCAGCATCAATCCCCTATTTAGGTTCAGTTCTCAGGAAGAGGCAAAATAGCCTTCCAAAAAACAGTGCTGCTCAACAAAATCCCCTAACAAACTCAGAATACAAAAGATACTAAAAAGATCTAGTACTAATGGACCTTTCACTATTTCAAGGCAGATTTGACCAGTCAGAGAGACAGAGAAACACACTATTACATGTTTCAGATGCTCAACATTTAGATGGTTGCCTCAAAGGTTATTTCATAGTCTGTAGGTTGACTGTATTTTCTGAAGGAGTCTCATTATGAAGCATGTTTTTGGAAGATGTAGAAAACCTGGATTTTTAAATTTATATAGCAACGTGAGGTTTCCCTAATCCCCTCCCCTACAAAGTCTGTGTACTAGAATCTCTCAAGCTGTTAGTGCACATTTTTGTGATAGTGGCAGTTGAAACTGGGACATTTTCTCTTTCCTAATTTCTAGGTTATAGATTTTCATGTGGGCTTTGATTTTTTTTTTTTTTTTGATCAGGCAGAACTTTCCTCATTGCCTCCATTTCCTAGTTGAAGAACTGCAGTGAAAATTAAGACAATGTTTACGACCTGTGGTCTTCTAGTATGAAATTCTTCTCACTCACTGTATAGCATCACTGTCGGTCTCCTCTACCAGTCACAAGGCTTGATCAACAGACAAGGTTCTAAACTATTTTAAATTGGGGTGCACAACACCTATTTTGCAGAGCCATGTAATAAGGCCTGTGAGTCTCACC